TATTTTTTTATGTGTTTTGCCTGTATGTATGAGTGCATCCATGCATGCAATGCCTATGCAGGCCAGAAGAGGGAGTTGGATCCCTTGAACTGGAGTTACTGCCAGTTTTTAGCTACCATGTGGGTGCTGGAAACCAAGTCCTGGTCCTCTTCAAGAGTAGCCAGTGCTCTTAACCACTGAGCTATCTCTCTAGCCCCCTTCCTCTGAGATTTTTGACATTATTAGCATCATGTTGGAATCATTGGCATAAACTAGTCCCCATTACTCCTTGGAATCCTCTTCCGGCCTTCTCCATACAAGGGAAAGGGTCAGAGGCCAAGGAATCTCACACACAATGACAAGGTGATTTAAGAATTAGTTTATTAGTTGGTGCTTCTGAGAACTCATGCAAAAATGGCACAGTTAGCAACAAGCAACAGTGGTGAGATGCTACTCAATAGCTCTCACTAGTGTCAGTGTGGCCTTTGAGTGTTGGAGCCAAGGGAAGCCAGGCCCCTCAAAGAGAGGGCTGAAAATGTGGAGGTGAGGGTCTAAGGGGCAGACTTCAGATCCAGATGTCAGAACTGCAGTCGCCCCCTGGGTATCGGAGTTCATGAGCCAGGGCTGGGCCAAGGGGCTCTTTTCCAAAGTCCACCAGAAAGTTGGGGTTCAACTTCAGCCCTCCATTTACTGTGTCTACATCGATTTGCAGCATGACAGAGCCTTCCCTGGAAGAGAAGAAGGGGGTAAGGGAGAGGTTGAGTGAAGATGGGTTCCTGAGGATGGAGCAGGGTCTGAATGGGCCATCAGTATGGTGGGGTCCCTAAAGAATCTTCAGAAGGTCAAATGACCCTTCTAGGAGAGGAAGGTTGGATTGGTAATCTCACCTGATGAGATCAGGGTAAAACTGTTTGTCCCAGGCACTGTACAGCGATGTGGTAACATAAAGACGCTTCCCATCTAAGCTGAGCTGGATCATCTGAGGACCTCCAGGCACCCGTTTTCCCTTGGGGGAAACCCAGAGGTCAGACTCAAAAGTAATATACAGATTGTCTAAGGGATTGGCATGCCACCTGGATCCCAAGAGCATCCCACCTACCATACTCCTTGAGCATGGATCTGGGGGCCCATAATGCTGGCAAGAAGTCCTTACCTTGACCACCAGAGGCTCTGGCTGGCACTTTAGCTCCTGGTCCTCCAGCACTTGCACAGGGCCTCCTTTAACAATGCTGCCCCCAAGAAAGATCTGGGTGCCGGGTGTAGAAGACAAAGGGGGACAACGGTGAGAGGTATTGTGGTGGTTAGTCTTCATGGTCAACTTCACTGGATTTTAGAATCAGCTAGGAGACACACCTCCTGGTTTGTCTTTGAGGGTATTTCCAGAGAGGTTTAATTTAGGAGGGAAGACCCACCCTGAATGTGAATGGCACATCCATGGACTGGGGTTCCAGATTGAATAAAGAGGAGAAAGCAAACTGAGCCCCAACATCCAACTCTGCCTCATGTTCCTACCGCCTTGCCTTCCGACTGTGATGGACTGTATCCCCCTCTTCTCAAATTGAAAGCCAAGATAAACCTTTCCTTTCATTGTTTCTGTCAGGTATTTTGTCATGGCAACAAGAACATTAACTCATGGGTATGAGCATTATAAAAGGGCAGTTTGCCTCTGTTAGGCTCCCTTACTCCTTTCAGACATGCTCCCCATGTTCAGCCATGACTCCACCATCCCTAAGGCCACATTTTTGCTTTTTTTGCTCCTCCTCATCCTCCAGCAACTTCACAACCTCTTTGCCATCCTCAGACTTTCTTCTTCCTTTTTAAAAAATATTTTAATTTTATGTGTATGAGTGTATTGCCTGCATGTGCACCTGTGTCATGCAATGCCCATGGAAGTCAGAAGAGGGTGTCGGATCTCTAGAACAGGAGTTACAAATAGTTGTGAGCTGCCATATGGGTGTTAGGAATCGAACTCAGGTCCTCTGCAAGAGCAGTCAGTGCTCTTAACGGCTGAGCCATCTCTCCAGCCAGTCCCCCTTCCTTTCTTATGCTAGAGCCTCTACCTGTCCAGCGAGGCAGGGCTTATTTGGGTTTGAGATGTCATACTGTCGCACATCACCATGAAGCCAGTTGCTGAAGTACAGGAAGCGGTCATCCAGGGACAGCAGGATGTCAGTGATCAGGCCTGGAGGAATGGGTTCAGAGGCTTTAAGGAGTCTTGCTTTCCAGGCCAGGAATCAACCCACCCATTCCTACCCTCTCCTAGGCACTCACCTGGCATTTCAGGCAACATCCAGCCCTTCACTTTCTTGGGGGGCACCTGGACCACCTTCTCCACTGACCAGGTACCTCCCTACATTGAGGAGTGGAGGGTGAGGTTAGGGACAACAGAGTGTACTTATCAGGATTGGAGGCAGGGAAGGAGCAGACATTGGGCCCTGTTACCACTCAGGTCTCCTTCCCTGCAAGCTGTAAGGGCAAGGATCATGACTGCTTCACCATAGCGTTGCCAATACTTGTCAGAATGGCTGATTCAGGTGCTCACTAAATAGGTTTTGTTTTGTTTTTTGAGACGGGGTCTCATGCAGCCCAACCTGGTCTCAAACTCTCTCTGTAGTTGAGGCTAGGTTTGAATCCTGCATCCATCTCCCTAATGCTAGGATCACAGGTGTGTACCATCATTCCAGCTTAAGTTTTGAATGAATGAATCAATATGGCCAATTAGGTTTCAAGTGTGCTATGGCTGAATGTCCCCACCAACAGTCATGCTGAAATTTAATCAATTTTGTGAAGCATTAAGAGGTGGGATATTAATTGGTTTCTTGAGACAGAGTTCTCACTATGTAGAAGAGGCTGACTTTGAACTTGCAATCCTCCCTCCACCTCCCAGTGCTGAGGTTACAGGTGTAAACCACTGTACCTGGCTAGGTAGGACTTTTAAGTAAGCAATCAAATTAGAGTGCTCATGAATAGATTCATCCATGAATGGGTTCATGAGTTATCTAGAAAGTGGGTCTGTTAGGCAAGCCAGTTTGTCTCTTGTGCATGGTCCTCTCACCGTGTGGTATCCTGTGATACCTCTGTAAAGAGTCCCTACCTACATGAAAGCCCTCACCAGATGCCACTTCTCAACCTGGATGTCCTAACCTCAGAAGTGAGCTAACCAAATCTCTATTCCTTATAAATTGTTCTGTCTGTGACAGTTATACCAACAAAAACCAGACCCAGACAAGGTGGACATTAGCCCGAACAGAGACAAGAGAGGCAAGGCATGTAGTGGCTTTTTTCTGTTCCTGGGGAAGCCCAAGGTAGTGGATCAGAGAAGGATGGCTACTGAAACCTGGGAGGAGGTGCTGATGAGACTGCTGGGAAGGGTGGAGGAGGGGCTATTACAGGATTACCTCATTTTTATAGAAGTGCTGGATGGTAGAGCTGAGGGCACAGCCCACGAAGCCCTGGGCTGCAGCTGGGTCATGCAAGAAGCGGACCTCCAGGGGGATGAGCCCATCTTTCATTTGCAGGGTCTGGATGAGCTCACGACGCTGCCAGTCCCACACGTGTAAGCGGCTCCCATATAGCCCTGAGGGAAGAGGGGATTGGGGCCAGAGGCGGGGCTCGGATCAGGGAGGGAGGGCAGGGAAAGAGGCAAGGGATGGATGTGGATTGGGGTAGGGCTGGGGGTGGGAAATGGGCACAAAGGACTCTTGAGCAAGTCTGAGCAAGACGTGGTACATCTTAAACTGTTACCCTGAATTTGGGTCCACATGAGGGTGGAGAGGGCTGCAGATCTGGACTGGAGTTTGGGGACTAAAGGAGTGTGGGCCCACATGGGGTCACATGGGGTGATTCTCACCGGCCTCCACATCAGCAGGGTTGAAGCCATCTTTGAGGACATTGGGAGCTGCCCATTCAGTGCTGATCATGACATTATGTCGAGGCTGGTACCAGAAGTCATAGCCCATTGGCGCAGCACCCCCTGGCCGCTCCCACGTCCCTTTCACCTCGAAGGTCTCCCCATCCAGCAGCACAAAACCCCCTGAGCAGGGAAGGAAGGAGGGGCTGAGGCAGAGGCCCTAGGCTGTGAATGCATTGCCTACCTTCCCCACCTGGCTTGCCAGCTCCTTATATTCAGGTGCTCAAAATGTCCCTTGCAGAGATGGCAGGTAGGAGGTGGGGCCTTCTAGTCTGGGTCCTCTATCTCCCATCTACTTTGTCCTTCTCTTTGGGAAACGTTCTTCCTTTTGAACAGAGAGCTAGCTCTTTTGAGACTCAGCCCTGTAAGTTTTTCTTGCCCAGTCTGCGACAACTATGGTGGGAGTCCTCCCAAGAGTCAAAGTGCTACTCTGCTCACTACAGTTTTCTATATTCTTTTGTCACTCAACATGAATAAATATGTTGCTTCCTCGAAGAGTATGCAGATACCTCGATACAGCTTCGCTAGCATAGTTGTCTATTCCTGTTAGGAAGTCTGGGAATATCATGCTCCATCTCCTGGACAGAGTTGGATGATCTTGGCTGATGTTGAATTCCAGGTCCTTGGATGCAGGACTCTTATGGAAATAAGACTCAGAGAGTCAGCACAGAGATTAGGTCCTAGATTCTGGAGCCATGGCACATGCCTGTAATCCCAGCACTCAAGAAGCTGAGGAAGCTCTCGGGTTGGAGGCCAGCTTAAGTCTCAAAATAACAAAACAACCAAAAATAAAATAAAAATTCTGGAACTCAACTTCTGGATCCAACTTCCAGCTCTGTGACTTTTTAGCTGTATGACCTTGGGTAAGTCACTTAACCAATTTGTGCCTCAGCTTTCTCTTATAAAATGGGGCTCATGATAGCACCTGCCCCATAGGTTGTGTCTGGCACACAGTAAACATTTTATATGTTGTAGCTCTGATCATGAAATGGCAAGTGTAAACACCAAGAATTCCAAAGCGGTTGCAGGGGCTACTCCAGGTGCCTCTTGATGTGTACTCAATAAATTTTTCTTTCTTAAAAAAAAAGGGGGGGGGCTGGAGAGATGGCTCAGCAGTTAAGAACACTGGTTGTTCTTGCTGAAGAACACATGGGTGCACTTACCTACATGCAGGCAATATGTGCATACACATAAAAAAAAGAAAGAAAGGCATGGTACACGTCTTTAGTGCTAGCACTCAGGAGGCAGAGACAAGTAGATCTCTGTGAGTTCAAGGCCAGCCTGGTCTACATAGTGAGTTCCAGGCCAGCTGGGGCTACAGAGAGATCCTGTCTCAAAAAGACCAAAAAAAGAAAAAAAAAAAAAAGCACTTGCTGCTGTTCCAGAGGACCCAAGTTCAGAGCACCCATATCAGGTGACTTTCAACCACTTTTAACTCCAGTTCTGAGGGATCCAATGCCCTCTTCTGGCTTCCTCAGATCTGGACATGTTTGCTCCTAAACACATGCACATAACTAAAATAATTATATGAAGAGACCTCAAGTGCTGTGAAATTTACTAATGCAGTCACAAAGGCTGTAATTAAATTTATAGATTTCCTGGATCCATGTTTTCACATTCCTTATGGGAAACTGTTCTGACTATACCTTTTAACAAAACTGAGACCCAGCTCATCTTCTGTGTGTTAGGGAGTAGGGAATGTACTCGGGGGCTGAACCCAGAGCCTCACGAATGCTAGGCAAGTGTTCTATCCCTGGGCTGTATTAACAGCCTTTTTAAATTTTTTTTTTTTTTTTTTTTTTGAGACAAGGTCTTGCTAAGTTGCCCAGGCAGGCAGGTCTTGAACTTGTGGCCTTTCTGCAGAAAGGGCGGAGCTGGAATTATAGGCCTGCACCACCAGGCTCAGTTAAGCCTCATCATTATAGGAATAGTTGAAACAACTGAAGTTTCTTGCTGACATTTTAAGTACTGAATAGGACTCAGCTCTCCCTCGTTCCTCATCCCATTTTTCCCCAGACTTGGGATCTGCTCCCCCCACAGACGGAGGCTTCCCAAACTTTATAGCTGCAGAAGTTTCTGTAAGCCCACAGTGCCAGTAGGTACCTTTGGCATTGCCCTGGGGATCCCCCAAGGAGCTGATCATCACCTCCCCGCTGGCCAGGCAGTGGCTAGTGTGCAGGTTGCCCAGGTTGCACTTGGCATGGATCTCACTGGGCTCAATGACCTGGGAAGGGTGAGGAATGGAGAGCTGTTCAGGGCTAGGAGTCTGACCCTCTGCTCTGAGAGCCCCTGCTTTATCTGCTGACCCTGCCCTCTTTTCCTTCAAGACATGGTCACAACTGTCCCTAAGGGAATACAGCAGATTCAGTCTGGTAACTGGGAGAAGTGAGGGAAGTCAGAGAAACTGCCACTAAGTTCCCAAGCAGAAAGCATCGACCTTTCCCCATCTCTCTTGAAGGCACTCACAACCTTGTACCACCATAAGCTCTTCTGGCCTGTCCCAGTGTTGCACCCCCAGATACCAGCGTTAGTATCTGGCACAGAGAGAAGGTCCAAATGGAGTGTTGAGAGGAAGACCTGGGGCTCCTGCCTGAGGGAAGGCTTGAACTTCTAAGCTGAGTGGGAAAGATGGCTGTCTTCCCCCCTCAGAGAAGAAGCCTCCTCTTCTGGTTCCCCAACCCATGCTGCTGGATGGTGCCAACTCAGCATGCCTAGGTAACTGTTCTGAAGTCTATCCTCCTTCCCTCCTGCTGAGCCAGATCCTGTGCAACCAGGAAGCCACTTGTTTAGTTTCTTTTGGGTGGGGAAGGGAAATTAGGCTCTCCAGTTATAAGGGCAGAAGACGTGCCTTGTGCAACTTTGGAGCACGGGGCTCAGAGCCCACATCTACCACATAGACTCGAGAGGAGATAAAACTGGGCAGCATCAGCTTGTTGCGTGACTTGGTGCTGTCCCCAAAGCAGCTGCTGCAGGTGTTCCATCCCGAGTGGTGCAGCTCGTCCTTCAGGTAGGGCATGGGCAGCCTGTGGATGACCTAGGATGGAGAGGGACAGGAGGTGCTGCTTACCCAGGCCATGTCTCTATAGACTCACTTTGGCTTGGTATCCCAGTACAGACTGGGTTTCAGTGCTCCCTCATCCAGGAGGAAGAGGGCAGAGAGGCAGGCACCCTGTGCAGTTTACAGCTTGTGTTAGAAGAAGGATGGAGTTAGGGAACCAGGGCTAGGGTGGGAAGCAAGCTTGGGGGTGCCAGTGCCCAAGCCTCATCTCACCTGGCTATACTGGGGAGACTTGGGGTCAACATCCACAGTGGCCAAATAATCTGGGGCCTCAATGCCTGTGTTTCGGTAAATACAGGGCAGGTAGACAATCTCCTCCCGGGGTCCTGGAGGGTAGAATGCAGTCAGAGGAAATGGAGGGGTGGAGAGGGGTGGCAGAGGCACCCCAGGGTGAGCCAGAGGGCTGAGGCTAGGTTCGAAGTCCCTCAACCCTACTGCAGGGTCAGCAGAGAGATGCTGGCTCTCAGACATGGATGATTACCTTTCATGGCCTCCAGAGGAGTAGGGTAGCCGGGGCCACACTTCTGGCATTTTGTAGCTGTGGAAAAAATGGGGGGTGTTGGCTGGAGCGGTTGGGGAGGGTTTTAATTCTTCCTACAGCCTGTAACACACACCTGAAAGGTAAAGGTAGACCCATTGCTGCCCCAGGTTCCTATTCCAGCCCCGTCACTCTGGCCTGTCCCTCATTCCCCAACCCTGAAGTGTGTTGAGAGTAGGGCAGAAAAGCTGGAGGGACATGACCTGAAAATGGACACACTGGCAGGACTTGAGGGAGGTGGGTCATGGCAAGTGGGGCAGAGGCTGTGTGCTCAGTGGTTTTGGCATCAGCTCTGACCCCAACCTCAGCCTACCTGAGTGGTCATATCTTAGCCCCAGTTTTTACTCCATCAGCGAAAAGGGGACGACAAGAATGCCACAATGGACTGGCATTATGACACACATTTATAGGGAGCCAGAAACAGGATCATGAGTTCAAGACCATTCCTATAGAGCAAGATCCTACCTCAAAAAACTGAGTTTAGGCCAGCTGTGATGGTGCACACCTTTAATCCCAGCACTTGGGAGGCAGAGACAGGTGGATCTCTGTGAGTTCAAGGCCAGCCTGGTCTACATAGTGAGTTCCAGGACAGCTGGGGGTACAGGGAGACCCTGTCTCAAAAAGACCAAAAAAAAAAAAAAAAAACCCCCCAAAACCCAAAACCTGAGTTTGAGGGGGGGCGTCTGGAGAGATGGCTCAGCAGTTAAGAACACTGGCTACTTGCAGAGGATCCTGGTTCAATTCCCAGCACCCACATGGCAGCTCACAACCATCTATAACACCAGTTCCAGGGAAATCCAACACTCTCTTTTGGCCTATGCGGACATCACATAATGGGAGTACTTATATACATGCAGGGAATATACTCATACAAGTAAAATTTTAAAATAAAGTATTAAAAAAAAACTGAGTTAGGGATGTAGCTTAGTGGTAGAGTACTTGCCTAGCCTGCTAGGCCCTGGGTTCAACCCTCAGCATGGCAAAACAAAAACCAATAAACAGCAAAATTCACGATGGGCTTTTGTGAGACCTAAAGGAACAGACAATTAAGCAATGCAATGTTGCTGGTTCACACCCAGTGAACCCTAATTGTTCTTGAGAGCAGGCACCTTTCCCCAAACGCATCCAGGGAAAGAGACTGGGACACTGCCTGGGTCCTGAGCCAGGCTGCAGGCCACATCCTGCTTTACACAACATATCCAGACAAGGGGGAGGAGACTGGGAAACAAGACTGATACCAGCTGGATGTCCTAAAGCCACTTTCTGCTTCCCCACCCACCACAGCTCTAGGGAGAAGCCCTTCCTGACCCTAGGGCCTGGCAAGAGAAGTCACCACAGTCATGTAGATCCACAATACCAGCCAGCCCCTTTGAGGAGAGCCACCAGGAAGGCCCCAATTTCAGAGGTGGGGCCAGCCTGCTAGGGGAAGAGTGGAGCCCTGAAGAACCCTGAAGAGGCTGCTGTGGGCTGAAAGAAATCCTGGAGTGGAGTTCATAGGACTGGGCACTGCCTCCAGCTCTGTCCCACAGCCACAAGTTAGAAGTAGGAAAGTGCAGAGCAGAGCCTTTGCTGATGCCTGGGAACTGCACTCCTAAAAACCTTAGGAAGTGCTGGGCATGGTGGTGCACGCCTTTAATCCCAGCACTCAGAGGCAGGCAGATCTCTGTGAGTTCAAGGCCAGCTCGGTCTACATAGTGAGTTCCAGGACAGCTGGGGCTACAGGGAGACCCTGTCTCAAAAAGACCAAAAAAAATAAATAAATAAATAAAAATGTCACAGTGAAACTCTTTATGCGCAAACCAAAAATTAAATTTTTTTGAGACAGGGTCTCACTCTGTAGCCCAGACTGACCTAGAATTCACTATGTAGCCCAGGTTGGCCTCCAGCTCCCTGAGATCTTTCTGCCTTGGTCTCCTGAGGGCTGGGATGACAGACACGAGCCACCACACACAAATTTAAGTGCGTGAAGAGGATCAACAAAAAGTATATTTGAACCAGGATCTTCAATCCCAGCAGAGGCAGGCAGATCTCTGTGTTTGAGACCAGCCAGGTCTATATAGTGAGTTCTAGGTCAGCCTATGCTACATGGTGAGACCCTGTCTCAAACAAAGCAAAACAAAAAGTGTGTTTGAAAATGCCAAAATGAGGGGCTGGAGAGATGGCTCAGTGCTTAAGAACACTGGTTGTTCTTGCAGAAGACCCGGGTTCGAATCCCAGCACCCACATGGCAACTAACAACTGTCTGTAACTCCAGTCCCAGGGGATCCAACAGCCTCTTCTGACCTCCATGGGCATTGCACAACAGGGGTGCACTTACCTACATGCAGGCAATACATGCATGCACATAAAATAATAAAATTGCAGGGCATGGTGGCTCACGCCTGTAATCCCAGCACTCGGGAGGCAGGCAGATCTCTGTGAGTTCGAGGCTAGCCTGGTCTACATAGCGAGTTCCAGGCCAGCTGGGGCTATAGGGAGACCCTTACCAAAAAACGCCAAAAAAAAAAAAAAAAAGTTTTAGAAAATGCCAAAATGTAACCTATTACCTTGGATACTAATTTTAAAAAGCTAATAAAGATAAGTTAATACCCTCTCAAAGATTTTTTTTAAAAGAACTGTGTAAAAATCTGAATACTATGACAGTGTATACAAAAGTCTTTCATAAGGTTGAAATAAAGACTGAATAACATGGATAGGACTGTCAGAGGAGGGAGAGAATGCTAGGCTGTAGGGTAGGGAACATTTAAAGGAATTGAGAAGGCTTGTTCTGTTATGCCAGGACTTGGTTCAGGCTGCCAGGGCAAGGAAAGGCAGTTGCTGGATACAGGAAGGGAGGGAGATTCATAAACTGCTAGACAGAGACAGAACTTTAAAGCCAGTCAGAGAGTGAGAGAGGACCGAGGCATGGGCACTAGAGCCTCTGCCCAGCTGTGCTTTGTCCTGCCGGCATTTCTTGGCCCAGCCCTTCAGGTTGCATTGTTCTGTGTGGGGCATTCTGCTGTCTCAAGCATCTCAAACAAGGTCTCTTAGCACCTTGAATTTGGATCCAAATGGGCATCTATGCCAGGCTAGTCAGTGGACATCCTGCCAGCGGGGGAATGACCAGCTCCAGGGGAGCAAGGATCTGAACTCTGCCACCCAAACCCAAACCTGGCCTGACACTCAGGAGCCAACAGACCTGAATAAGAGGAAGGAATAAGAGGACTGTGGAACTGGGGGGGGGGGGCACTGAAACAGATCCTCAGTGAGCGACTATGGTGATCCCCGACTTCCTTCCCTTCTTGACTGGTAGTGTGGAACAGCTTTGAGAGACCTGGGCACAGAAGGCTTGACTTCTCTACCTCCCAAGTAAGAAGGATTGTCTGTCTCTTATGGTGGCAGTGGAGACACGGGCTCCTCCAATAATCCTCACCACCATTGGATTTTCTCAGCTTCAGAAGGAAGTGGGATTCCCAGACCACCCTTCCTGGCAGTCCCTCCCCACTCCTTCCTAAGATCTTAGGCTAGACTGAGAAATGCTAATGTGCAGTAATCCCAGCATGCTAGTGCTTTACAAGTGCGCATGCCTTCAGGGTAGGGACAAGAGTCCATCCCTTTCTTCACTGCTCTCCCCACAGTCTTCAGTCATTTCCTAGAAGGACCCTTCAAACTAGGGGTGGACTCTGCACCGTTTTTTTGAAACCCCTTTCCTTACCCATGCTGCTGGCTGACGCTCTGGTCCTGCGGAGTTTGTCAGGAGTGGACAGAGACAACACAAAGAGCTGCTGGTTTGGAGGCAGGCTGTGTCAGGGAAGGGGCAAAGGGAGGGAATTTATCCAACCAATTAGGGGAGGGGTGGAGCAGTGGGGAGGGACCTGGTTGCAGTCCAAGGTAAACTACACAGGGCAACTGGCCAGAGGGCAGCTGGCCAGGATGCCATCAAGTGGCCTGGAGGCTGCTGTTAACTCACAAAGGGTGTGTGTGTGTGTTGAACCTGGACACATAGATCTGTGGCTTTAGTAGATATGTGGTTTGTGTCTATATAACATGCTCCTGTATACCTGTATGTTTCCCATACATGTGCCCGTATGTATGTGCCCGTATGAGTGAATTTGTGAGTGTTCATGTCTGCATGCGTGCATGTTTGTGTGTGCCCATGTGAGCAGGTGCCCATGGGGGAGAAGTGGTTGTGTGAGTATTCCTCTGCCTCCAAATGCTCATCTGTGTTTGGTCATTTCTCTTGGCATTTTGGGGTGCCCCTGACCTGTAAACCTGCCTGATCCTACTTCTACATCCAGGGCCAGTGCTCACTTAAGATTGTCCTTATTCCAGACATCCAGGCTTCATAAGCACGGTCCTTCTCACCAGGGACCCCTCACCCATGTCTTCCTGTACCACCTGCCCACAGCAGAGCCAGGGTTGAAGGGTGAGCCCAGGTTCTACTTTTCCCAGAACCATTCCTAACTTTAAGTGAAAGAAAGCTATTGCCTGTTATTACCTCTGATTACCCTCATAAACTTCAGGAGGTGAAATTGGACTGCCTCCCCTTCATCTCCCAGTCTGGTGCCCTCTGGATGGGAGGACAGGATCAGAGGGGAGGCCAACGGGTACCACTGTCCCTACCTGGTCTGTTCCAGAAAACCTTCAGTGTAAATGTCTGCCCTGTGGGGGAAAGGAGGTTCTCTAGCTTGAAGAGACAGGGTCTGCTAGGTTGCTGAGCCTGCTGCTGCAGTGTCCTAGGGACAGGCAAATGACCACTGCTTACTGAAGAGCTCTAACAGGGTCAGGGTTACTCAAAGCAGAGTTGAGGTGATCCTTTAAATTTCTTCTAGGGTGTCCTCCATCTTGGAAAGTCAGGGTCAAGGTAACCCTCTCAAAGTGGTCCCCACCTTAGATCCAGGGACTCTTCTTAGCATGGGCTACTTGGCCAGGGAAGCCCCTGTTCCTACTCTTAAGGAAATCTGCTGTCTAGAGAAACCACTTTCATCTCTATGGATGAATTCTGATGTGAGGTTTTTGTTGAATAGTGAAACCGGTAAAATATGAGCTTGAGATCACCAGTAGAAAGAGCTACAGGAACAGTTTAAGAGAGGAGCCAGCTAGAGTTCACGTGGTACATTCTGAGCTACCTCTCCCTTCTGGGAAAGTCCTGAGAGGATT